ACTCCAACTTCGTCAGTACCTGTCACATTTGTATGGGTTCCCTGACCCTTCAGGTAATCAGTCTGGTTGAGGGTCCACAACCTGTCAATCACAAAGAAACATTTCTGAGGCCCTGTGTCTTCACTGTGCAGCAGTCTGCTCCTCCGCTTTACTCTGACAGAGCTGATGAAAATCAAAGCTTCATGGTTATATAACATTCAGGAAAGTTGCATTTGAGTTGCTTTTAATGATAAGAATATAATTAGCAGAGTAGCAGGGAAATAGAAACACAACAGTTTTCCAAACCAACAGCAGCACACCATACGTTTTCTTTTTCCCCACTATTACACATTTATAACCTTTGAACGCTTTTACTGTTCATAATACTTGAGAGATGATTCGATTCACCGCTCAAAACTGGACATCTGAAGCATAGTTGTGCTTTTGGAGGGACTGGAGCTGTCGTTTTATTGTGATTAGTATATTAAGGACTCACAGACTTACAGACCTAGAACATTTGGTTTCTGACTTTTTCTACTGAAGACTTGACATGTAAAAAACCTTTTAATTATTAAAGGAAGTGTAAAAAAACATTATTAATTTATTTTCGTTCATTTTAATTCCTTATACTTTATATACAAAAGGAAATTAAGGTCATTTTTAATTAAAAGTATACAGGCATTTTCTCACATTTTAAGAAGGTTCAAGTTGAAAATAACTAAAGTTCCCCAGCCGCCTTAAAATTAATCTGACGTTCCAGATGGTTTGTTGCACAGAACCATCTGGGAAGGCTTAGCTGGCAACTGTTTGGAAAAGGGCAGGCGCTTTAAAAAAAAAAAGAAATTGGAAAATGATTGGATAAATCTGTCTATGCATGTTTATCATGAGGTAACGTCGACCAATCGGATTCTGCATCCTTCCCATTTTTTTCTCTATTGGCGGAGCCAGTTGGTAAATCAAACTCTTTCCGAAGACCGTCGGGAGAAAAGAGAAAACATCTTTTCCTGCCCTTCTTTCAAAGAAAACATATTCTCCAGTTCCCAGTACAGTATAACAGTATCAATGCTAACCTCTTTAGAAGCCTCCATGCTTCTTGCTGTCATCACTCCTAGGACACGCCCCCCATGCCAGTACTCCCCCCCCCCCCCCCTCCATAGGACACTGATTGGTCCGAACCACTGTACTTAAGCCACAACCAAATAGCTTCAGGCTTCAAGAAATCCAGTTTCCTCGCAAGGTTTCTTAAAAATGTGTGTCAATTGAACTTAAATAATTAGTTCAACGTTGACTCATGAGTTGTGAAAATGTAAAGCCAGCTTAGCTAGAAGTCCTTCAAATGATTAGATTACAAAATATGTTGTTTGTCCTTCAGAATGACAAGCAGAAGTGTTTTCTGATGTGATGTCTCTATTGGCAGGAAAATTAAACAGTTTTATGATGTGACAAAGAAACGCTAGATCTGTTTTAGATCTTCATTGCCATGGTTACAATAATAAACACTTGGATAAAGTTCGATAATGATTGTGCCTGTGCTTAAAAAACACAAAAAAACAAACTGACTGTTGTGGGAACAGGAAACAAACAATTGTCTCCCATGTCAAAGTCTGACATGTTGTTGCTCTATAACAATAAGTGTGTTTCCATCCAAACAAATGTAGTGGACATTCTAACTGAATTTTGAGAGAATCTGCAAAAGAAAATGCAAATGAACAAGTGTGTTTCCATCCACTTCCGTGGTGCAAATATCAGGAGTTGGTTTGTGAAGAGAAGTAGCTGGTGGTGCTAATTCTCCAGCTGGAGAAAAGTTTATTCACTACGTCTTTTTAATGACACTTTGTATCATTTTGCTTTTATGGATAAACCAACTTTTTGTTGTTCACTGAAGCTGAGAAAACAATTCAGTACACAATACAGTTGAGATATCAAGCTCAGTCAACAGCTGTTTCGTCTCTCTGGCAGATTTGCTCATATTTTCGCAGTTTGAAGTCAGTTCTTCATACGACAGAAAGACCTAACAACACTGTACCAGAATTAGTACAAATACAACATGTATGGTTATTTCCACTGAACTTGTTAAATGAATTGGCATCATTGGAGCATTGGAGACTGAATTAACCGTGGTTCACATTGTTTTCATTAACATCAGGAGAAACAACCGTGCCTTATAGTCCCACAGCAAGTTTCCATCATGTCTGTGGTCTTTAAACTACAAAATCTGTTGAGAGTTTTAACTCTATGCATTGAACTTTTCAACTTGTCCCAATGGGAAATTGCAGTGAAGTTCAGTTAAAGATAAAGGGTAAAGTGCAGTTACATATAGATAACCTATAACACATTAATATGCAAAATATGTAAAAACAGATGCTAACCCACTTGAGAAGTTTAAACTCTCCACACAGAGGACAAGGAGGGCTCTCTAACACGATTGAATGAAACAGCTCTGTCTCTCTCTCTCTGAAGACGTGAGGCAGATCAGCCAGTCAGACGCCAGTGATCTTCCTGGCCAATGGAACTATAATGTGCAGCCTGTTGCCAAACCAAGTAATAACAGCAAAGTTGACAACTGACTCTGTCATGAAGGAAGAGTTTTCCACACACCGCAAACCAACGCATCCTCTGAAGAAAGTAGAGTTGTTGCTGAGCTTTTTCTTTTTTTTTTCTTTTTTTACAGATTGCAGTGGTGTTGTCAGTGAATGTCAGCTGATGATCAACTGAAGTACCCGGATATTAGCGGCAGTGAACCTGTTCAATGAGCTGTCCCTTGGTGACAGTCTCAAAAAGAGTGTTAGGCTTCCTTCTCAAATCAACACACATATTTCATTTTGGGAGGTAATATGCAAACGATGTTTCTGTAGACATTTGATCTAAATGAATGCACTACTAAGTGATCATTCAGCCCATTAAATCATCATTTCGAGTCACTGACTTCAAGTCAGAAGAACTCGTGTTTATCAGTGGTGACGGCCTGAAAATGAAAAGCAGAAAATTTAAGTTGAATTACCCTCAGATTAATAAAACATTTACAATGACTTAATGATAAAACATTAGTCGATTCCACTGAGTTGGTGTACAAGGTTTTACACTGCTGCAGCTGAGATTACTCAATTTGTCAGCAAAGCAGAGATTTAGATTGATCTTTTCATATTATAGAAATGTATGGCTTTGCTCAGTCTCAGTGTGAGGAGGTAATAACTAGAAAAAATGATAAGTCCTTATAAATGAAACAGAGGGAGCTTGAAGCAACATAATTCAGGTATGTAAGTCTGGTGGTGGTTCTTTCTTATGACACTACAAGCAGATATGTGTAATTACGCGTTGAAACGAGGGTGCAAAGGCACTGAAATGCTCTCGGTGGCCCACTGAAAACTGAAATGTGCTTGATGTATGGGTGAAGGCCACACAATACACTGTATACTGTATTCTTATGGATGCGATGTGTGTGATGACGGCCACATGGTGGCAATAATATACCATCATATACCATGATCATCTGCAGCAGCAATCATATACCATATCTCTTCACGACTACTTGGAGTTTGAGCTTATATGTTCACACAATGTTAAATTGATATCCTAAATAATTTTAATATGGGTAGGCCTAGTGGCCATGTAGTCGATATAATATCTTACTTCATTCAGTACTGGGATAACAAAGTCAGACATATCCTATAGCATCATTTGACACTCCAAAAATCTTCCCCATATGGCTATGAAGTCATTGCGCTGCTCACTTCTGCACATCCTGTAAGCAGCTGAAGGAGACCTGCTGAAGCGTGACGGGAACTGATTTTCCTGTATGCATATTTGCATTTGAACAGAACACTTGTGCATGAAAGCCAAAGAGGGCGTTAAGCACAGAAGGTTCCTGTGAGTCACCAGTGCAATACATCACCCACTTAGCCATCATTCATTCAACACGCTTCTTGCTATGCAGGGAACAATAAGACCATTTTTCTTAATGCGAAGAGATGAGTGAAAGACGCACTTCTACATGTGTCTGAATGTAAGACATGTCAGGAGTTAAAGCTAGTTGAATGTGTTATCAAACAGATGTTATGTTGGCTTAGGGAGCTCTATTGTAGCACAATCAAACAGGAAATGGACATTCATCAGAAAATGCCACAACTGGCCTCACATAAAATAATATGCGTCTCCTTTAACAATATGCCTTTTTCTCTATTTGTATCCTGTCCTACTCTGACAGGACTGACCTCCATTAGTGCAGGGGCTAAAGCCAGGAGACCCCTTTCACTCTCTTTCATTCTCTGTTGTGTTTAAGCTTGCTTTACATCACATCTTCTTTAGGCCCCAATCTACCATTATGTCAGCAACTATAAATAAAACTTTCTGTTAGTGCAAAGTCAAGAGCATTAATTTGCAATTAATGATGTCAAATGCACTTTTAATTTGGACTTTTAGTAACTGACAGGTGCATAAATGACATTTGAGGGCTTTCAGACACAGAGAGGCTGCAGGATCGTTCCTTGCTAAAAAAAACTCTGGAGCAGCAGCTCAGCAGCTCTGAGGATGTGGACACTTGAATTGTAACGTAGGTCTATGATTACACATGAAACTGATTAGATAAGAAATTGACAATCATGAAATGAAGTAGCAATTCAGGAGACGATATCTATTCAATCAAATTCTGTATCGAATAAATTACAATGAGCCTAATTAAAAGTGGGTTTAAATCTGTTCAGCTGAAACCAGGCTGCAGGTCTCTTTCTTTTTGTCAGATGCCATAAGTGCTCTACACTGTGCTCTAAAGATGACCCGAAAATCAGTAAAGCCAGTGAGGGAAGACGCTGCGTGTCATAAGCGGGAGCGGTCCTCACACATCACGCACGACGTTAGGAGTTCCCCCGCTTTCACCGTGAAAACGCCCCTCTACTCTCCTCCTAGCCCTTCCCGACCGTAAGCCATCCCTGCCGGCTTGTGCCTGTCTGTTGTCCCAGCCTGCAGGGCTACATCTCCCGTGGCAGAGTGAGGGGCTGCTCTGGGGCGGTGGCGGCGTCCGTCTTCCAGGTTCCTGCAATCTCAATGATCAGAATCTGGACTGAAGCCTGACACCCGGACCTGACAGGACAGGTATGCGTTTTATTTGTTTGTCTCATTGGGCGCCGATGAGAGCGGAACAGGTGCATGCTGCATTTGCCGGTTGCTACGAAATGACATTGTAGGTGAGGGGATGGGAAGCATCTTCGTGCCGGTGACAGGCTTTGCACAAAACCGCGCTGTGCATGCTCCGCAAAGACACTGCTTTGTGCCTCAAGTGTCATGGACGGATGGAGAGGGTGTTGCCACGGAGCTTTAATCCGACCAATATGGTCGGCAGGCTGCTTTAATAAGCTGCACACAATCAGGGCATCCTTTATTTCATGGTAATCAAGGCCCAGGCGGCAGAGTCAGCAGGTGCACCTTTCTTAGCATAGCGCCTCATCAGCTCGTTACTGTACACATCCAACCCACGTAGAATTATTAGACCTATTCTTGGACATGCAAGTGTCTGCGGAGATTGTGATTTCTCTATGTGGAGCTATAGGCTAACAGCTGATGCTCAAGATAATGAGCTAATTGAAGACGGCGTGTATTGTCGCGGGTGTGGCAGAGGGGGCAGGCGTGGGCGCCTCCACAACCACAAGGTCTCACAACTGTCTGAATTGCACTGTGAGAAAGTGAGCTATTAAACTGGAAATGCCCTGAAACTGGCACTAGATGAGTTTATTCAAAAAAAACAAACAAAAGAAAGCTACATTCATCTCACTGGATAATGAAAAGGGGCAAATGGGAATTGATCCAATTTATTCACTTGCTTTTTACTTGGAATACAGGTTTTAAAGGGAATAAGTAGCCAATGGGTAAAGGAGATTTCCTATTCAGAAAACATTACTGTGATGGTTTTGATTTGATTTGATTTCCTCAGCAACTCAAAACTGTGACCACAATCACAATGAGTAAATTAAGGATGTATTTCTTTTATGAATTATATTCTCATGTATTATAATGACTTAATTAAATTTAGATTCAGATGTGTAAACTGTGAACAAAGAAACATTTAGAGTGACATTTTGACATTTATAACAGATACGGTAATCTGCAAGAAACATACAAATATGAAGCTTACTAATACATTTTTGGAGACAGAAACAAATACCAGCTATTTTACAGCAATAAAAGTTCAGCAAAGAATGAAATGACAAAGAGAGTTTCTGAACAAATGATGTGGAATATATGAGAAATCTACATAGTTGCATCATTCAGCAAGTTTTACCTCCAGACAAGTCAGACTGCAGAAGTTACAGTTATCAGTAATGCATCCCACCGTTCACCCTCTTCCTACTCACACAGACTGTCACTCCATGTATATTTGGCTCCTTTGCAACCTCGCCACAGGCTACAGTAACTCCCAGACTCTGAATTTGTGGAGGCAGAGTCAGGGAGGGGGTAAATTAGATCTAAAATCCATCCATCTGTTTATCCATGCCTCTGTCCCTCCATGCATCCCCCAGTCTCATTTTCCTTTCTTTCACCTGCTCCACTTTCAGCCTCCCCGGTGTGCATTACAATGGTGCAACTATGAGCAGTGTGCTGCTCCTCTGTTACACCCATTTGCTAGTTCACATTAAAGGGCAAAGCCTCTTTGTGTGGATGCATGTTGTGTTAAACACCTACAGGAAAAAATATTGAATACCTGTTTTCAAGGCTGTTGAATGTGGTTCAAAGAGTCTCACTGCAGGTGATACAATAATGGAATTACATGCTAAATTTGCCACTGAGCAGTTTCTTCTTATCTTGGACATTTAAGATGTAACAGACACTCAAGCAAAGCCCTCAGTTAAAACAGGGAGGTATTAGCAAAAGTATATGGCAGATGTGCACATAGTGTTCACAGGCAGGTGATTCTGCAGTCCGTCACCAGTGCACATGTCACAAGGGCAGGGGTTAGTCTTGTGCTGTACAGCCACAGGATGCACTTTTATGTGTGTGTTTTTGTGCATGTAGATTCAGCATGCATGCTTGTTTAAGGCGGCACAGTTCGATACTATTTTCCCTTGAGTGCTATTTCAAGTCATCCCATTATTGATTTGTAATAGCTCATTGAAGCAGGGCCAGTGATCTGTTCACAGCCAAATTGGAATTCTCCACAAGATAAACTTGCGTCACTTAGAAGTGAAAGGAGCTTTCAAAGGCATATCAAAGATAACAGCCGGTATTAACCGACACTCTTTGCATTAGCATAACAGACAATATGTTGTAGGATACAATGCCTGACTCAGGAAGCTATGACTGGTAACACAGGTGTTAATCTTTTGATACGCTAAACCACATAAGATGAGCGCATTTTCTCAAGACAGTGTGTGATTGCTTACAGCTAAAGGTCATTACTTGAGAACATATAAATGTGTGAATTTATTGAGTCTGCCTGAGATTGAAAACAAGTGTCAAGGCAGTTTAAGATGTACTGTAATTTGAAAGTTCAGCTGTGGTGACCTGTTTAGTTTGAATGAGTGAAATGAATGAAAGTATGGTTAAGTCCTCAAAGCTCAAAGATGAATAGGTCTGAAGAAATAACTGAATGTTTCATTAAAGTACAAAAGTTGATTTCTTACTTATTACTTGGAAATTCTATGCTCAGTAATTTATGTTGAAGCTGTAAAAGTTTGCATCCTCCTGATTGATTTCCATAAGACCAGTAAAGGCAGACTCTTATTCTAAAATATGAGCGGATGAGAAAGTAGAGAAAGTGGTGAATTTTCCATTTACAAGTCCTACATTAGAAGACTTTTGGCTTAATCTCACATGACATTATCTGCAATCAGACTATATTGTAATCTTTTATAGTGCACTAAATAAGATTGATCTCTGTCATATATTGCAGCTAGCCTGTATTGCATATTTGATTTGAACAGTCTGGTCAGATTTTTGAGCAACAAATGATCCTCCCCAGGGTGTAAAACTAAACCTCACATAGTAAATACCGTATAATCTTTCATATTCTTGTCCCTCCACAGTGACATACACATACGTACCGCAGATCTACATCTTGTTTCTCTGACCTTTTGTGTTCGTGGCAAACCATTTTAATGGAGACTAGAAGATGGCATCCTACTTGAAACTGTTGGTCACCCTCTTCCTCCCACCACCACTGTCTCCACAGTGTCACGTCAGTGTGCTAACCTCTACATGAGCTGTCACATTCTTCAGTACAGTTCCATGTGATGCTTCACCTCTTCCTCCATCTCATGAATGTGTCAACTAGCAAAATAATGCCTACAGGCCCTCCTTTTTTTCTTTTTCTTTATCTTATTTTGATATGCTTGACAGACGATGTTAGGCAAGGGTTCCCATGGCAACTGCATTTTAAAGAGGCGCGCTTGTTGTTTCTGTGTTAACTATCGTTAGTGGCAACACTCTCCTCTGTGGTCAAATAACAAAAAATTTGAATTCTTCTGTAGGCACAGCATGGTGTCTGCCATTTTCTTGTGATTGGGGTGAGGAGTGAAGATATATATTGTGTTTTCTATTTGTCTGCCAGTAAAAATCTGCAAAAATTCATCATCATTGTGTACAGTACACTATTAGAGGAAGAATGGGAACAAGGTTTTTGTCTTTTGTTTACACGGTGTGATCACTCTGATAAAGTCTAATATAATCTTGGAGATGTAGGGCTGTATGATTATGGATCAATTACACTTGATAGGTTTTTTTCCTACCTAATTAATTATCACATAAAAAAAAAAAGTGACCAAAAATGCTTTAATGCATTGTATTGTGTTCTTCGTAACTTCCAATGAGAAACCTGGACAATGTTGTTTTACTGGAGGTCCTTTCCATACTTTCCTCTAACTCACTTTGCCCAGCTGAAGTCATGATGTTTACCAGGCTCTTTAAATACACAGGAGGTGCACACTGTAACAGCAGTGGCTATATGATGTTATGCAATCAGTGAAATAGCTTAGCAGGAAATATTCACTTTGAGAAACTCATTTCTATCGAGGCTGCGTCAAGGAGGAGGAGGGGGAGGAGGGAGTAGATTGTGATGTTGTGTTAAATTACTAGACACAACTACTAGAGAACCTTGTATAAAAACAAAGATATATATGGCCTGCAGTCTGCACTTTGCCTCACTCTGTCTCCCTGAAGTCCTGCAGCATGTGTGTCTGCCTGGACTGTACTTGTCAGAGAGTGTATCAACAGTATGTCAACATGTCTACATTTTTAGTCACCCACACTGTGGGTGTCTGTACAGTAATGGTTCTTAAAATATTCATGTTTTTTGATAGAAAAATCTAAATAGGTTAGCAGTCTGCATATTCCAATCTTGTCCTAGGAATTCCAGTTGCTTTAGACCTTTAATGTAATCGTCCCATGCCTTGTTACATATCCCAACATGACCTCCTTCACTAAATGGAAGATTACTTTGTGGCGTAGAATGGATGAGGCTGGCTCTTCCACTCGCGTAAACTGATTCATATTTAACATATTCATCTCATAAATCAAACGAAGCATTTTGACAGCTCATTTTGAGACTTTTCACTGCCTGATTTGTTCTAATCAGTGAGGATTAACTTTACAATGACCCATCCCCCTGCTCTAATAATTTTGATACGCACATTTGCCACCTTCTTTGACTCTAAGCGACAATGAAGCAGACACAGATAAATTTGCAATCACACAATCTGTCTTTTCATATCAGCTCAAAAGGTGGAATTTAACACTTCAGATGTTTAAGTGTAGAAACTGTATGAACCCCTGTAATTCCCCGTGCTGTTGTGCAGACCCTTCCCACGAGTCAGAGCTTATACTATGTCGGACATATAGCACAAGTCCCTCTGGGCTTGCTTCCTCTTGGGGAGGATGAACTTGCAGCCTCATTGGTTCGAAAGCCGTATCATTTATCTCGGTTGTAGTGTGACGTGATTTGCAGCAGACTTAACAGTGGTGCTACACAATCTGCTTCCAAGACTGCTGCGTGCCAATGGTTTGGAGAATGTGTGTATATGGCTTTCCCTGAACAAGGACATCTTGCCACTCCCTCTTCCCCAACCCCCATCGTCCTGTACCTGGTTTCTCAGAGCCAGCCTCAG